GTATATAAGCTACACACCGAAGAACTGAAAAATAACTTTGCTACAACTCTTACACATCATCATTCAAGCTCTCTTGAGATTCAAATTCTACAACCTTCAACAAGACAAGCTTACGTTGGGAAGATTCAAACTCCAAATTTCTCATCCCCAACAAACAAGCAAAGTTCATCCTGTTCTTCAACACTTCAAGAACTTCATCAAACATCATTTGTAACGAAGCAAGTTGGAGGAAAAACTCTGTTTTTCAAAAGGATCTTCTGAAAAGAAGGGCGTCCAAGTAACTGCAGTAGTGAAGTGGTGATACTTCCGGGAAGCTGAGTGAAAGGATCAGCCATCAGGACGTGGAACTGCATCCTGGGTGGCATCTAGGCTTGAAGAAGACGAGGAGTGCTTCTTGAGTGCTAGGATTTAGCTTTGTAACCGATCTACTTCAAAGCTAGTGGAACAGTGGACTAGAGGAACGAGTTGTTCCTTGAACCACTATAAAATATCCGGTGCCATTTACTTTACTGCAATTTATATATCTGCACTTAGGATATTAACTGATTAACTCTAAGACTTGGAATCTGTGATCAGCAGATCTTGTTTTCAGAGTTATCAGAAAGGCATTTGCCTTAGTGTTTCTGAGGCTACCCGGACAGATCAGAATCCGCTGCCAAGGCCAGTTCTGATATCAGAACCAGCCTTTCTCTGTCATCAGAATCAGACCTTCTCTGATAAGTCAGTTTTGACTTTGAGAAAAAGTTGAAAAACCAATCAGTCTATTCACCCCCCCCCCTCTAGACTGATTACCATATTAAACGGGACCAACACCCCATAATAACTTGTACTCCGTATATAAATACTGTAACACCCCGGCCTCTCAGGGTCCAAGGTAGTTACTTCATACCTTTAGTATTGTACTCACAAACCAATACAAGCCTTTACCACACACACTTTGTCAGCACTCGTGCAATCATGAGAAGCTTCCCAGAGGGTCATCCATCATAAGACTACTCTCGTGCAAAAACGCTTAACTTGGAGTTATTAGCTGATGAGTTCCCTTAAAAGTTGATGCACCTTGTTGGTATGAGTACTACTATTAATCCCTTTCAATCAATCTCAAGTACTACAAATACACACACATACACACATATATAAATGTGTGTTTGTTTATCAACAAGTATTATTTCTTTTGCAGGGTGTCTAATAACATGCATGGATGAACTAGAGAGATCATGTGTGCATTAAGTTTATTTTTCATGGTGGGAGGTATGCACTTATATTGTATACATTTAGTTTTGGAAATCAGATATTCATCTCTCAAAGTTGAAGTGGACAACATGTGAGCTAGTATGTTGATTCTCAATGGCTACCTTAATCAAAGATTTTATGATACACTAACATGATGTTCAACTAAATTCAATCTTTCTATTAGTAATTTCATCTCTCGATCTAAGCTACTATGCTTTATTATTAAAAATAAAATCATATTTTTTTATTATCCAAAATCGGATGTTCACTCTATTTGAGGCATTACATTCATCCAAACGTTCTTAATCAACTTGAATGTGTCTGCACATGTGGAACAATATTTCAAATCACCTTATATGATATTTAAACGATGTTCCATATCAAATAATACTTTTTAGGGAAAACTATCAACTTGGTCCTTGTACTATCACGAAAAAGTCAATTAGGTTCTCATACTTTAAAAAAGATCAATCAAATCCCCGAACTTTGAAAAAACTTTCAATTGGGCCAATTAGTGAGTTACCTTCCATGTCAGCAGGTCACCTGTTGCACACATGGGGGTCCATGTGTGAGCCACGCCATCCGGAAATGGCTGTATGGGCTTCCACATGCATGCCACTTAAGCAAAGTCACTGATGACTCGGCTGCCATATGTGTGCCTGCATGCTATATTATCTTTGGATCCAACAAAATCAACAACTAATACCCATTGAGATACGAATTTGCTTATGGTCTCACAATCTTTTGATTATACCCGATACACCTGATGTTTATAGCTGTACTCATATTACCACTTTGTAAATTGATATGTGGAATATATTGACTTGATGAGTATAAATAACTCAGTAACTACGCTCATAGAACATTCAACATAGATTCCTGTAATGTTATGGCACAAAATTAGCCTCAAAAGCAGATCTAGAAAGTACAACTTGTTTCGTGGGATACTATGCTACAGTCCTTCAGTCCCGCCACTAAGCGTAAATATACAGTCGATACTCCATGACTCTAAGCGTAAATATATAGTCGATACCCCCATAACTCCTAAAGTTCTTAACCATCCAGCATGCACCACAATGCCCTTAAAAATAGGAGGATATTTACCACAGTTTAAACACAAGTAAGTAGTTCCTTTAATATATCTAAATAATCTATCCAAGACCTCCCAATGGGTTCTACTTGAGCAAAAAGTGTAAAGAGTCGGCTTAGACTTTTTATCCGAATGAAATCGCCTTATATTAAAATATCAGAAACCCCACAAGTACCATCAAGGCTGGAGAAAACAAACAAGTTAGAAAGACAAAAAAAGTTCAACCATACGCCCCTGGACCAAGCTCAGAATCAGTCACTTCATAAGAAGCAATCTGATTCGGATCTTCATACGATCAATTGTAAGCCAACCATGATCGACCTAGATTCCTTGTCACTTATCCTCTCCACACCCGATTCTTAACAAAAACAAAAACAAATTACGAGTCACCATAAGCAAGGAAACCCCAACAAATAAACCAGCAACAATCCTTACCCCCAAAACAAATATAAATAACAACTAACTCAAAAGAACTATAAAAGCACATCCTAGACAAGCCTAGAAACCTAGGCCTCCCCTTCCATGTTTTTTGGTCATTTTACCACCATTGCACCAACATCTTGGCCTTCCTGCCCTTGAATCTCCAAAACATGTCTCCTCTTTGGCTCCCCCCCGACCAGTTGCCTCTCTCCTAACAATCCCTCTGTCAGCCCGTGTTCCATCCTGAACCAACCACTGACTACCTCCCGCCCTTGAAACTATACCACTTCCTGCTCGTAGCCACGGACCACAAGGTTTGATTAATTTCCCACCTCCCTTGTTATATTCTAAGGGACATATAACTGAGTTATTTGTCCAAAGTTAAATCAACCTATGATAAATTTTAAAATTTATCAAGTGGATGTCTAAGGTTGAATCAACCTATGTTAGAAGTCGTCTTAACATCCACTTGATAAATTTTAAAGCAATATACAGAGACAGTGCTATAAAGATTCTAATTGTGGCATTTGAAATAGGAATATATGTATAAAAATCAATACATTCTTGTTTTTTGTAACCTTTAGCAACTGATTTTGTCCTTATATTCATCAGTGGTTTCATTTGATTTAAGTTCTTCATAAAAAGTACTCCCTCCGTCCCGTTTTAAATGTCCCGTTTTACCATATTTGGATGTCCCTATTTAATTGTCTCATACCTTATTTGGTAAAGTTTGTGTGACTCAAAATTTTTCTTACTTTATTATTACTTTATCAATTAATATCAACCACACAAATCCACTTTTCTTAAAACCCGTGTGACCCTCTTCTGGGACATTTAAAAGGGGACGGAGGGAGTAGTTTACATTCAATGGTGGTACATCTGAGATAAAAATTGATGAGCTCCCATAGTCCCATGTTACATTTTGATAAATGAAATCCATTTAACGTAACTCTTGATGACATCCTTGGATTGCATGGCTTCAGACGTAGCCTTTGCATCAATAAAGGAAACTGGAAAATCTCAAATTAGCAAGTGATAAAAACACTGCCAAACTCCATAATTATTCAAGAACATTGCTCCTTCTTGTAAGATATGACGTATCTAACGCAATAAATAAATAAATAAAAGTTGCTCAAAATGACGATCAATATCTTAACATCATACAATATTATAAATGAAATTACATAATAAAAAACTTATTTTGAGAGATTTGGGGAGGTGTGTGTGTTGTTAGAAGATATTAGAAAAAAAATCTAGAACTCTACCATATACTCATACCATATACTCATGAATTGATCATCTACAACTTGCGTGCTTTACATTATTTGATCATATAGATATATGTATGTGTATATAAATTTTGTGCGTGTTTCGAACTCTCTTAATGAGAACTGAGAACAAAGAAGGGTTTTATAGCTCTATAACCCCCTTCTGTAGACCTTGACCCATTATGGTTCGAAATCCATGTTTTGAGTTTGCCTTATTATGTTATATTTCAACACCAATGATCCATATCACTTAGGTATATGAACATATACCTGATTTATTCTGAGTCCACACGACATTAGCGATCTTTGGTAAGACATTATGGCTACCTAATTTAAATAAATCTCACAAGACCTATTTAATGATTTATTGTGCATACTATTTTTTTCTCAATTGTTGTTTCTTTAACTTTCAGACAAGTTTAATTTTAAATAGTCATATCATTTTTGCATGACCGTGCTAACTAATCCCGTCAAGGAGACCAACAAATATTGCTCCCATAACATGAGAGTGACAATACCTAATTATCATTTTTTCTAATGACATGTTTTAAGGTAAATTTTAGCAATATCAAAACATATTAATTTTCATATTGATAATTATGATCTATTAGAACTACACTGATGACATACAACATTGCAGACATAAGATTAAAGCATCTATCGCTGCCGCTGCAACTGATGTAAGTAGTGTTCACTATGATCACTACATTCCTGTCAAATTCAGACAAAGTTGAAAATTTTATGATGAATTTTCTCAATGAAAACAAGTGTATTTGTGTAGGTGTGTTGGTGGCCATCGGCAACTATTAGGAAAAGATAAAATTTAAATTAAGTAAAAAAACTGTAATCACATATAAAAAACTAATTATATTTTGTCTTTTGAAAATATAGAGATAATGTTTATGACATTTATTTTGTTAATATAAAAAAGCTACAATATTCAAGCTGTTTTTTCAAATTAGAAGCCTTTTACCCGTATCAATCATCACCATTAAAAGTTTTCTAAAAAAAGAAATAAAACGGAAAATAAATTCAGATTCACGAGGAAGGAGCTCTTGAAAAGACTATGTGGCGGTGTATTGACAATGCAGTTGTCCCCGGTATCATCATTATCATGAAGCTCTTAAAATGACTACGTGGTGGTGTATATAAGACTGAATAGTACATAAAGCACCTTCTCTTAAGCTCAAGTTTATCATTTTTAGTTCTGCATTTCCCTTCCCAGAATAAGAACTTGCGACCCTTCATGGAGCATGATTTGCTTATAGAGTACCCAGTGGAATCAGGTGTTTTGAAGGAAATTAGTTTCGATATCCTAAGTGAATCAGATGCTGTAAGTATCTAATAACTTGTGTTGCTCTTATATAGCTAATTACACTTCAAGTCTGCTCTATCTTTCCATGATCAATTTCTACTATATGAATTTTATCTCAGTCATGTTTCATGGCATTCACTCGGCCCTTTGCTTCTATTAGATGAATGCTGGCACTTTCATGGCTTGGAGTACGTATAGTTTTAAACCCTAGTTCATCTGCTCGTTTGATTTGATGGACTGAATTATGAAACACCGAACTTAACAACCCTCAACAACCCTCAACCGATAGGATTGACGAGGCTTTGGTGAAAAAAGTCCAGTTTACTCGCCATCCCATGTTAGAGAGTAGCATTTGACATAAATTTTTGCCTCTCAGGAGTTAAAATGCCATCTACCATTTTTTGTATGATTTTAAAATGCACACATACTCCACATTGTTTCCATGTTCTTCTTTATTTGATGTTCATAAACTACTTGGTAGTATGCTATTTATATCCATATATGTTCATAAACCACATATGTTTTTTTTTTCCTTAAGGGATATCTAGTAATTCCATGCTACCATTATAGGCCAAAATTTCAGCCAAGGTAATAGAACATGTGAATGAAGTAACTGATCCTGCACTGGGACTGCCAAATCCAGTTAACGAGTGTCGTACTTGTGGGGCAAAAAACTTGAAAGCATGCGAAGGTGGATAAAGAAACAACATATTATTGATTTATAAGCAGTCACACCCTGTATTTGCTCTCATACTGAGTAATGAGTGTTATTTGCAGGCCATTTTGGTTTGATAAACTTCCCTTTCACAATCCTTAATCCATACTTCATATCAGAAGCTGCACGGGTTCTGAATAAGATTTGCCCAGGATGTAAATCAGCTCGGTCTGATAAGATCAAGGTCAGGTACCACGCACTTTGTTGTTAAACCTCCAGTTATTTTAGTTAGTTATCTAATTTCAGCACTGTCCAATTCTAAACATGCTCTCTGATTTGTGTTGCAAAATTGACTCCTCAGCCCACTTTGAAACTTATAACCTGTGTGGGTTTCAAATATTCAATTCTGGCACACTATTAAATGTGAACATTGAATAACTTTATAAAGTCATTAAGTAGCATCAAAATGTGAAAAATATGAGGAACATGAAGCGTGTCTTTTAACATTAAAAATATGTTTGGAGCGTTTCTGAAATGGGGGAGCTCTCCTTTCCGTGAGTCTCCAACTCAATGCATCATAAGCTATGGTCCATGGTTTGATGGTGATGAAATAAGGCCGCTCATTGGGGTAGATATCACCATTGGTGGAGAAGCTAGTGGTCATATTTGTGTTATGGGCGATGGTTTAACTTTGGGAAAATGTTCTCTATTCTGGAAAACATAAAACAGTTGCTGGTAACATTTAGATATTAGACAACTGTATTTTGTTTTTAAAAACTGGTGAAGTACGTACTTTCTGTTTTCTAAAATTGAAAAACTGGTGAAATTAAAGTGAAAATATTCCATTCCGAAAGGGCTCGAAAACTGATGGCTTTTAAATGAAGAGAAAAAATTGGATTTCATATTCGAATAAACCTCATAAATGCAAGAAAGTGTTTTTCAGTTGGGCGCCTAGGCATCAACCGTAAGTCTTTTTGGAAAACGGAAGAGTAACAAGTTTTATGCTTTCTTGTTTTCCGGTTTTTGAGATAACAGTTTTTTAGTAAATGGTGCCTTGACCTCCAAACGACCAAGGGGAAATAAATCAGTAGCTCACTTTCGAACTATGTCATTCTTGAGACTTATTTAAGCAATCACAAATCCTTGTTGAGACTCTACATGTTAACATAGCAGTGGAGAAGAATAAAACTTCTTGTGCATGGTTCATTCTAGTGTCACTAACACTTGGGAAATATTATATAAACTATTCCACCATTTCAGTAAGTTTGGCAAACGATATCTTTGAATTCCAAATAGTATGAAATACCATTGTTTTAGGAAGTTATCTATCCCACGGGAGAGTCAGGGGTGCAAGGTCCAGGGGACAGACACACGCATTTCTTTTACATATAGAAGCCTTTGTTGTCGTGTCTGTGGTTGATCTGTTTAGTGTTTATAATTCTTTTACTGTGTTTTCTTTCTGTGGGTGGTTTTTTTCGGGGGGTGGGGGTGGGGGTGGGAGATGGTGTTACGGTAGATTTGTTATTCAAATAGTTTCTTATCTCATATTGCTCTCTGCTGATACTCTGTCGTGTGTCATTTATCAGATCGTTGGTTCTGCATCCAGGCATCTGCAGCATGCCAATTGCAAGTATTGTGATGTAAGTTTGATAGGCTATCATAAACTCTTTTGCTCATTACCTCATAATTTCGGAACTTATATTCTGTCTAATAAGCAGGGGACCTTAAAAGATTATCCGCCAATGAGATTTAAATTAATTCCAAATGACAAGTCTGGGAAACTCACAATTGTAGCAGAAGTGAATGAGAAATTTTGGAGCAAGTTCCCTCATATTAGTTCAGGAGGAAGTTTGGCTTCTGATTATTGGGATATAATTCCACATGATGCAGGGCAAGATGAAAGTTCTTGTCAACACAAAAAAAGAGTTCTATCACATGGACAGGTAGTGTTTCCTTTTCACCTTTCACCCTTTTCATACTTTCCATTTCTCGGTTTCTTGTAATTGATCTCTTGTTCTGTTAGCTGGAATTGCAATATTCTATATTCAACAATATTCAAAATTTCAAAAGCATATCTTGTCACTTGTTTTAGGTTTATTTATACAAACTACAAATTAAATGATTCACAATTCAATATACATTTTCCGATACTTCATTCTTATATTTCATTATGTGGTTATAGTTGTATTTTTTTGCTAATAAAAGTAGCTATGTATATGCTCATAAAAGTTTGGATTCCATCCATTACCTGGAATGAATGAATGGCACACAGACATAAAATTTGATGTATATGTAAGTGTTAATATACGTGTGCACATTTTGTGTTGCTACCCATCTTTCTCTTGCTGGAATATGTATATTTTGCCGTCTCTTTTACCTACTTCTATCATGCATCTCGAAATAATGTTTTGCAATTTTCTCTTAGGTTTATAGTTTGCTGAAAGATGCTGATTCAAGACTTATTGAGGCATTTCTCAAAAGGAAAAATTCAATCTTCCTGAGTTGTTTTCTTCTGACCCCTAATTGTCATCGTGTTACAGAATTGGGGCACCATATGCTATTTGTAAGTGAGACAAGTCACACCATTAACTTGATTTCAACACGAGGCATATACACACAGATATGCTGCACATTTTCCTTCACGTAAATCTTCTGCTTAATGCTTTAGGATGAAACTAATAGGCTCTACAGAAAGCTGATTGACTTTAGAGGGACGCCCAGTGACTTAAGTATGCATCTTCTTGAACGCATAAAGCTCTCAAAGGTATAATATACAAGAATGTCCTGTTCATTTCCTACACACGTGTGTTTATTGGTTCAAATAAAAAGGGTCCTTATCATAAAAATGAGAAAACATGTAAGCCCATCGCTGTGCACCCAATTCATATGTTCATTGAATATTCATTATCAATACACTGGATTAATTTTCAAATTTTTCATTAATTGTCTTTTCACTTGGATCTAACCCTACACGTATGTGTATACAAAGTTACAAACACATATGTATATATTTGAGGAAGAATTATTTTTAACATATGATGCAAACCCAACTATTGCAGCTGCGTGCGGAAAGGCAAGCATTTATAGACCCCGAATTCAGTGCATCTGGTTTAAAGTTTTTGAAAGAACTTCTCATTGCAAAGAGAAGTAATCACGTTTTTCGCTTGGTGGTAGTCGGCGATCCCCAGTTAAATCTATTTGAAATTGGCATTCCAAGTCATGTTGCAGAAAGTATACGGATAGGCGAGCATCTAAATTCATGGAATTTGGAGAAGTTAGCCGAGCACTGTGATCTCATGATTCTTCAGAAGGGATGGGTTTTGGTTCGAAGAAATGACGACTTAGTTCGCATTAGCATGTGTGACAATTTGCAGAAAGGAGATATCATTTATAGACCTCTTAGTGATGGAGATGTCGTGTTAATAAACCGCCCCCCTTCCATTCATCACCATTCCCTTATTGCTTTATCTGTTAGAATTCTTCCTATAACTTCAGCTCTTTCTATAAACCCCCTTATATGCTCTCCCTTTCGTGGGGATTTCGATGGTGACTGCCTTCATGGTTATGTCCCCCAGTCAATGGACTCCAGAGTGGAGCTCAGGGAACTTGTTGGTCTAGACAAACAATTGATTGATGGACAGAGTGGGAGAAACTTGTTGTCACTAAGCCATGACAGTTTAACTGCAGCTCATTTGGTTCTTGAAGATGGAGTCTTCTTGAACCGGTCTCAGATTCAACAGCTTCAGATGTGTTGCCCCCGGCAGTTACCACCACCAGCTGTCTTCGAAGCATCACCGAAAGGCTCTTGTTATTGGACCGGGAAGCAGTTATTTAGTTTGCTCTTGCCGTCAGATTTTGATTATGTTTTTCCATCTAATACTAACGGGGCATGGATCAGGAAAGGAGAGATTGTATCCTCTAACGGATCTTCTTGGCTACGGGACACTGATGGGAATCTTTTCCGTAGTCTTATCAAGCATTATGGAGATCAGGTTATTCATTTCCTGTTTTCTGCACAGGAAGTTTTAAGTGAGTGGTTGTCAATGAGGGGATTAAGCGTTTCTTTGTCAGATCTATATCTCTCACCTGACTCGTCCTCCCGCAAGCATATGTTGACCGAAATCTCATGTGGTTTGAGAGAGGCAGAGAAACTTTCACTTACAACAGTACTAATGGTGGACAAAAACCAGGATTTCCTTATCGGGCTATTCGAAGAAAATAAAGAGTCGACCAATTTTGGTGTCAAGCAGTTATCTATTGAGAAACAGAAGTCTGCGGTGCTTAGCCAGTCTTATGTTTGTGCTTTCAAAGAAGTGTTTCGGGACATCCAAAGCCTGCTTTATCAGTACGCTAATAGGGACAACTCGTTTCTCGCTATGTTAAAGGCCGGAAGCAAGGGCAACGTTTTGAAATTGGTACAACAGAGCATGTGTCTTGGTTTGCAGCATTCTCTGGTTCCATTATCATTTAAAATCCCACATCACCTTTCTTGTGCTGCATGGAATGACGAAAAGAATCATCCTCGTGATCTTCAAGAATACTCTAGATCTTGCATCCCTTCTGCTGTGGTGGAAAATTCTTTCCTTACTGGTTTAAACCCTCTGGAATGCTATGTGCATTCTTTGACAAATAGGGAGACATCTTTTAGTGGACATGCTGATGTTTCTGGTACACTGACTCGCAAACTTATGTTCTTCATGCGGGATCTCTGCATTGGATATGATGGAACTGTGAGGAATCCCTTTGGAAATCAAGTTGTGCAATTTTCTTATTATAGTACACAAAAATCAAACACATTGGGTGGTGGCCATCCTGTTGGTTCTTTGGCTGGTAGTGCAATTTCTGAGGCTGCATACAGTGCTCTGGATCAACCCATTAGCGTGCTTGAATCATCGCCTCTGCTGAACCTTAAGGTTTTCTCTCTGACTCTCTCGTTATAATGACTAAATTGAACGGTCGCATGTTTGAAACATGTGATCCCCTATGTGATATTTTTCTTTCCTGAAGTGTGTGAAACTGCAATAATATTTTTGTCTTTGCTAATTCGGCTTTCTATACCTTGCCTCTTAGCATTTATCTGGCATAGAAAAAATCTATCTTTTTAATCAGTTGTTTATTTATCTTGATGCTTTTTTTATTACTCTAACCTCACAGCAAGTACTGGAGTCAGGGGCAAGAAAAAGTAGTGGTGAAAAAACTGCATCACTGTTCTTGTCGAAAATGCTGGGAAGGTGGGTTTATGGTTTTGAATATGGAGCTTTAGAGGTGAAAAATCATTTGGAAAGACTTCTGTTTTCTGACCTAGTTTCTGAAGTAATGATATGGTAAATTTTCTGCTCATTCAGTTTATGGCGGTTGTACCATTTATTTATGGAACTTGTATATACTGTCCTTTATTTTTCATACTAATACTCTGTCAACTATTTTAGCTTCTGCCGGGACACATTGAGAGGCAACCACAGTAGTCCTTGGGTTTGCCATTTCCACATAAATAAGGTAAGGTTATCCACAACCCAGGGCCGTTAAAAATATGAAAAAAGCGTTCACTCCGTCAATCTAGTTTTCCCATGCAGCCCAGCAAGAGTCTATATATTAATTCTGCATATTTTTTATATTCTACTACGTATTAAAAAAAACCTTACGTATGTAATTATGTTGTTATCTCTAATTTTTTGAATCTATTTAATGAATGATTACAATTTTCAATATAATACATTTCGGTGTAAATAAATAAAATTGGATATTTTGTAACTTGGATATTTTTTTGTAACTTTATTTGTATACATTTCATTTCGGTGTAACTTTATTTTTTTATTCTTTTATCCTTATATATAAAAATATTATTTTTATCCTTTTTATTTTATCATTTTTAGGTATATTCATCTCGTTTTTTTATCTTTATTTTCTTTCTTTTCCTTTTGGTGGTGATATCATGTATCGATTCATGTTAGCCGACCCCAATATCATTTCGGACTAAGGCTTGGATGTTGTTGTATTTGTATCAAACCCTATATATAAGTAACTAATAAATAATGCAGTGACATTTTTGAAAATAAGTAACTAATAAATAATGCAGTAACTAACAAATGTGCACTGAGGTGAACCATCCACAAGTTCGCAAGGAACTAGGGAAATACCCCATATTTATGTCTGTGTGCATATATATATGCATATGAATGTACAGCCATTAAGTTTGGTTTGTCTATAAGTTTCGTGCTCATGATATTTTTGGTGTGTCTATAAGTTTCGTGATCATGATATTTTTCAGGAAACTGCTAAGAGGAGAAAATTAAAGTTGCAATCGATTACTGATGCTCTGAACATAAGTTACACAGCCATTAAAATAAAAACAAAAGTTGACCTTCCAAATCTGCAGATAACATGCGTGTAAGGCATTATTTAAGCAGGCTAAAACTTAGCAGTATGCTTTTGCTTTGGGGTTGAGTTCTCATGATATGCCGTAGTCACCTTACTGACCATGTCTACTTGTTATTCATTTCCTATTCTTTGTTATTTTAATATAGGGATTGTTTTGTTCATGACACGTCAAAGGAAGATTCAAACTTATGCATTACAGCTGCTGTTGTTGGGATTTGTAAAGATTCATATCTGGGGCTGGAAATCCTTCGTGATTTTGTGATACCGTTCCTCCTTACAACAGTTGTTAAAGGTTTAAGTTACACATTGAATTCTGCATTCTGCAATTTCCTCGAATGGTTTCCTAAATGTGCTTACTATTCAAGTAGTTTTTTCCCTTTCCAAATTTGAACGGTTTTACATACTAATTCTTTTAGGGGTTGGACTTGATATATAGGATTCTCAGCATTCAAAAGGGTTGATATCTTATGGCGGGAGGAGGCACCTGTTTTGCCCAAGCCATCTTATAACAGTACAAGGCCTTCTGGTGAACTTTACTTGCGGGTTATCATGTCGGAGAACTGTGACAGAACTAAATTTTGGAGCATTCTTGTCGACAGTTGCCTTCAAATAATGAAGATGATTGACTGGGAACGCAGTCGTCCAGATGACATACATGAGATCTCTGTAGCCTATGGGATAGATGTTGCTTGGAAATGCTTTTTAAGTGTGAGTTTTTGCTGCATGATTCAGTTTCGATCTTCCCAAATCACGTTGTCATGGCTTATGGCGACCATCATGGTGCCAAGGCAGTTTGCAGTGGCAATGGCACATTTATGGAATCTGTCACATTCCACAATAAATAACAAGTATACATATGAACAATACACAATATAGTTCTATGATTCAACCACCAACAAAGAGTTAAATAACTAAATCCTAAAAAACACATAGGCAAGTCAAAATAGTACCAAAAATAACTCTATCCTAATTGAACACACATAACTTAGAAGGAAATTACAAGTGAATACTGAATACTTATTTTAGACTGTAAAGAAAGCCTACAAATAAACCACAAATAGAAGTTAAAAGGATTGTATAGACAAATAAAGACTGTAAATCAGAAGATCGTGACACGGATTGTAAAATCCCGCAAATATATTGATATGGAAAGAAGAAGCTCATTATTACTATCATTATTATTCATTATTATTAGTTTCCTAAAGTAAGTTTCCTAAAGTATTTGGTGTTAGTTTCCTAAGGTTATTACGGAGTATTAGTTTCCTAAAGTAAGTTTCCTAAAGTATTAGATGTTAGTTTTCTAAGGTTATTATTAGTTGCAGTTTCCTATTAGTAGAAATATTATATTTTAGTTAATTTCCTAATATAAGTATTGCAATATAATTAGGGTTACTCTAATACTAGACATACTAGACTCCCAAGACTCTTGGGACAAGTATAAATAGAGGTGCCATATTAATGATTAAAATCACCAATCTTCTGGAGAACAATTCTTCTTGTGCGCTCGGTGGAGCTGACAGACTCTTCCCTAGGACGGGAAGCTGTGTTGTTTTTCCAACGTCGCCCACAATGGCGCAATGTCCCAATATCTGGCCAGATTCATCAAAATTTCCTCCTGCTAGGAAGGTCTGAAGGTCCATATTATTTCTTGCAATTTGGTTGTGGGCAGCAAATATGCAGGAGGGAAGGATGAAGGTACCAACACTGGTGGTGTCAGCTCCACGGGTGACATCAAGAGTGTTGTTGACAGTGTTAGATTGGTTTGTTGCGAACAAACTTGCTCTGTTGCCAGTGACAAAATTGGCGGTGGTGTGGATAGTAAGGATTGCTTATCCAATAACTGTTTTGGGAACAGTGGAGATGCTGATGCCCACACAGGAAAAAATTGACATCTTGGTGGAGGAGCTTCCGGCAATGATTCGATGGGGGTTGTTGTTGGCGGAGATAGAGAATCATATTATGAGTGTTGCGTTCGCTCAATAGCTTTTGCCAAACTGATTGCCACATCCACGCTGCCGGGATATTGACATTCCAATGCAAGACGAATGTCATCTTGAAATCCTGCTGCAAAGAAGTTCACTTGAGTCTGTGAAGGTACACCCTTCGTGCATGCCAATAAACACTGAAACTGGCTAATATACTCATCTAGAGTAAGTATTTGCTGAAGTTGGGATAACTCATCTTCCGGTGACGGAACCTCGTAACATATCCTCATAGAGCAACAACTATGAAAATCGAGTTTGGAGTTGCGGGGCACAATGTTATTCGCGCTATGGACTCGATGGTGGTGTTCCTGAAACTCCCTATTCTCACCCTGGGATCCGGAGGGGCTGTTGCTGTTGGAGTCAGTATGTTGACCTGCAGATTTACTAATCAGGAAAGCAAGCTTGTGGAAAAAGATGTCATGAGATCTATAATTTTTGCCTCAAGCGATCCTTGTCATTGGTTAATATCTGCCATGAAGGTTTTGAGTGTCTCTGCGGTGACGTGATCATTCCCCATCGTCCTGGATAGTGGATACTGATACCAAATTGTTACGGGCGACGTTGGGAGATAAAAAAGAAGAACAAGTATGATAGTTGTAAACACAACACAACTTCCCGCCCTAGGCAAGGAAGTGTCCGTCGGTTCCACCGAGTGCAAGAAGAATTGTTCTCCAGAAGATTGATGATTTTATTCATTAGTATGGCACCTCTATTTATACTAGTCCCAAGAGTCTTGGTGGTCTAGTATTAGAGTAACCTTAATTATATTACAATACTTATATTAGGAAATTAACTAAAATATAATACGGAGTATCTCTACTAATAGGAAACTACAACTAATAATACCTTAGGAAACTAACACCTAATACTTTAGGAAACTTACTTTAGGAAACTAATAATAACAACCTTAGGAAACTAACACCCAATACTTTAGGAAACTTACTTTAGGAAACTAATAATAATAATTAATATTAATAATGATAGTAATAATGAGCTTCTTCTTTCCATATCATATATATACTCCCTCCGTCCCGCTAAGAAGTTCCCGCTTTCCTTTTTTAGCAGTCCCAAAAAGAAGCCCCCTTTCCTTAAATGGAAAGTTATCTACATCAAAACAGTGCCAAACAACGTCCAAACAGTAAAATTTACCCCTGGTAAGTTTATTTCCTTAATATGTGTGTAAGTCAAACCGGGAACTTCTTAGCGGGATGGATGTAGTAATATTAAATAATTCTATATATAAATCATATATTGAATATAATTTATTAAGGTAATCTCAAACAACCTGTTTAAAAGTTAAAATATAAGACATATACACAGTCTTAGTCTTCCTAGAGACCTTACATAATCGCAACTTTTATGACTTGAACACTTGGTCTACTGGCTATGTACATACATGAAGCTGTGGTCTAAAACATATGCTCGTTTTCAACTTACCTGAATTGTGACACAGTGAATTTTTCCAGTCATTTAATAATTTTGTAAAAAAAGCAACGGCACAGGACATTTAAAAGGGGATGGAGGGAGTATGTTTCTGTCATTCCCGTTCTCGAATAGATGAATATTGTAGATCCTCCATTGTTTGTGACAAAAAAATAATTAAGTAAATAAAAGCCAATTTTCCCAGTAGTTGTTCCAATATCCAACACATACAATCTAATCTCACTACATGGGGGTTTGGGATAATGACATATTGACATTCAATAGGCATATCATTAAATATCCTGCATCTAACAAATCTGTATTATACATATACCAACATGAAGACCTTTGTCTATTCTTACCAATATGGTGTCGGTGAAAGCTTAATCTCAAAACAAGCAATTGGATCCGCATAGACTATAAAAACAAGCACATAGATTTCAAACATGCTTGATCCATCGAGCCACCATCCGATGGGTGTGTGTTAAATCATCCCACATCTAAGAAACACTAAAATAAAAACTAACTATAAGGCAATTGACTACTCCTATCAGCATGGATTTTAACTTGGAATTACAAGTCGTGAAGACTTAAAGATTTGTATTGTGTCAACTCACTTGGGAAATAGAAATGTGTACATACTTGTAATGCACCTTTGGAACTGCAGGGCCTAAGTTCTGCACTTTCAGATACTGGCAAGACCATCCTCCCAGAACATGTGGTGCTTGCTACTGACTCTCTTTCATCTTCTGGACAATTTCTTGCTTTGAGTGCGAATGGACTGTCACTTCAAAGAAAAGAAAATGGTTTTTCTACGCCATTCACTCAAGCAATCTTTTCAGTAATGTCTTCAGCACTCTTACTAGTCTATCTTTCCATTTTGTATTGATAATGTAAGTAGTATATCATTACCAGATTGAATTTTAACTGCACGCATGCAGAACCCTGGAGAGAGTTTTCTTAAAGCAGCCAAGTTGGGATTGTATGACGATCTTCGAGGGAGTGCTGAAGCTTTGGCTTGGGGAAAGATTCCACCTGTTGGTACCGGTTTCCAGTGTGATATTTTATACTCTGGGAAGGTATCAAACAATAATGAAAGCGCAGTATAAAATGCATTGGTGTGGATGATACCTTTTTTACTTCATGCTTTGATCTTATTAACTTCTGAACTCACACAGGGATTTGAGCTCTCTGAGCCCACTGATGTGTATAAACTGCTGGGAAAGCATGCTGAATTCCAGAAACAGAGAGTGGCGACCAGTCCTGAGCAAAACCATGAACTTTCCAGAAAATCTCTTGCTCAACGCCTGTGTACATATGATGGAATTTTTTCTGAGAGAGAGAGTAGTTTGTTGTTACCAAAAGCGGTTTTGAGTTCCTTTTCCCTGAATGACATTCAGAGGCTCTCAAGGGCATTGAGGAACATCTTATACACGTAAGTGAACTTCTCTCTTCTAATCCTTATCATTTCCGTCATTTTGTGTATACTTCTAAAAACCATGCTGGTTTAATATATCTACTTCTTATAGGAATAATGTGAATGATATTTTGAAGGATTCTGACAAGTCTGTTGTGATGAGGGCCTTGTATTTTCATCCTCGAAGGAATGAAAAAATCGGTACCGGAGCACATGATATCAAGGTATGTCGACATAAAAATATTATTTGACTACAGTTATGGAAACACGATTTAATGCCTTTTTTAGTTCTTTGACTATACACTTACTCAATTTATTCCCCGTTTATGCAATTTGTGTTCAATTTATTTCTCATACATTGCATGACACCATTCTAATCTGTGGTTATTAAATCTTATTCCGTATTAGTTTTTTTGTGATTATTGATCACATATTTTAATAATAATAGGTTGGTCAGCACAAAGGACATGGAGACTCCCGCTGTTTCCTTTTGGTGCGCTCTGATGGAACAGAGGAAGACTTCTCTTATCACAAATGTGTACATCATGCCCTTGAACTAATTGCTCCCAAACAGGCAAAAACGTATAGCTCTCGATGGTTGAGTTTGGCTCGCTGATTTCAATGACGAATGTAAATGAAACACCTCATTTCTTTCTTCCCATATTTTTTTTTGTATGAATAATCCTGCAGGCCCTGAAGGGAAACCTCCCGTACCCCTAGGGAGAATCGAACTAGTGGCTTTTGGAAAATTTTGTTCCTGGATTTAAGCCAGTTAAACTATCTAGTCTTTTAAAGGGCAGTCTGGGGGTAATCACTTTTAATAGAAGTAAGATAGAAAAGCTTTGGATAGCCCCAATCTGTTTCATCTTGAGGGTTATCCTGGGGTAGATTGAAATTAAAACCAAGTCTACTCAAGCTAATGCCCTAAGAACAATGCAGTCAGGCGTAAAGTGCACTCAAGGAGCTAGATTCACATATCACTTGAGCCTCAAACTCTCAAAGCCCATTAAAAAGCACCTAAATCATGCAAGGTGCACAATGTTGAAAAGATTGTCTATGATTCTATACTATAAAATTATCAAACATGATAGTATGATATATTGATCATATGAATAAGCTATATTCACAAAAACTATTTTCCAATGTCTGGATTTTGTTCATATAAAAACTATTTTCCCTTGTAAAATACTTCGTATAAACTAATTAGAACTTGTAGTTAAGATCTTAGACTCTAAATCTGTAAGTAATGCATCAACCTGGTTAAAATTACGGAACAAATTCAAAAAATTCATCAATGCAGAAAGTGCATCGCTTGGAACTTGGAAGTGCACTATGAACTTGCACAAATGCATGTGTGCATTTTATGAATAAAATATGTGTGTAGAAAAAGAATGTTTTTACTTGGACTTATTTTAGTCCCAAATTAGATCGGATCAGACCTCGATAGTAGTCATGGACCCGGGCTGGGCCTGGACGGGTTTTTTTTTGGAAAGGAATGCCCGGGATCGGCCCGGGTAGCCACCGGGTCCGGGCCGGGCCTCAGGTCATTTTTTTCCTTTTCCTAATTAACCCCTCACCCCAACCCCCCAAATCACTCCAAATGGCCCAAAATACCCAGCCCAACCCGAAAAGTTAAAAAAAATTGAAAAAAAAAAATTAAAAAGCCCGGAACTGGGCCCGAACCAGCCAGTCCGGTTCGGCTTTTGGGTGACCCGAGCCCGCACCGGGAACCCCCCGGGCTGGGCCTACCCGGACCGGTCACTAGCCGGGCCACCGGGCCCAAGTCTATGACTGCTCGATAGTTGTAAATTACACAGAAATAAGATATCTATCAGACTTGAGCAGACCACAAAATTCCAGACCAATAAAAAGCTCGCTAACAAATTGGTTATTTGGGACGGTTCGAAAAAATTCTACGCAGTATAGGTCTACAACGGTTCTCGGATGGTTCTAAGTTTCTAACTAGAATCCGTCAATCGATATCGTACCATTATTTTTTATGATTCTTCCAGTTCAATTCAGGAGTGTTCTTTGAAAATTTTGTTCCTAAAATTTTTTCCAGGCTTCTTGTTCTAACTAGAATCAATCAACCAATATCGTACCAGTATATTTGTTCTTGGATTTTAGCACCAAAATTTTGCTCACGAATTCTTCCTGTCCAATTCAAACCGATAACAATTCCGGTTATAACCAACATCAAAATCCAATTTTAGTCTGAAAAAATCGTCCAACTTCGATTTAGATCTGGAATCGAAACATATCTATCTCTAGGCTTGATTGGCAACTTGTCGTGCTATCTTTTAAATACTCCCTCGCCCTTGAATTATTTTCTTATTATTCTTTTTGTTCGTCCCAAAATAATATCCTTTTTCAGTTTTTGGCCAAAAAGGTGTAGTTCACAACATTTTTACATATTTTTATATATTCTTCATCTTTTGCACAACTCTCTTCCGCACAATTCTCACTTTCTTAATCCACGTGCAAAAACTCATTTGGAAGATAATTCATGGACGAAGATAGAACCAATATTTCTATTTTCCTCATCATTTCATTTCTCTTCCCAATTCTTTTCCTAGCTTTATTTATGTTCCAAACAGGCCGTTAGTGTGTCTACAACAGTAGGTTCTTTTATTATTTATCTTGAAATTGATAAGTTGAAAAGTTTTATAAACATCAACAACTTAATGATTACCCCTGCCTTTTAATTCTCAAGTATATATCTTTATGGTTCAATTAATTCTCAAGGTTCTTTAATGAGCTTGATTTGCAACAAACATTTTGCTGCTTTCTTCTACTTTATAAGTTTGGCAATGCAGTCTATTTATTTATATAGAAAACAAATAGCTCATCTAAAGACAATTTTACCCTTAATGAATCCTATGTATCATTCTCTCCACAAATTACTCCTCTACTCTACAAATGCCATGTGTCCAATTCAAGGATAATGAAGTAACCGAACACACAAGTATAACAAAGGAAAGAAAGGTCACCCTCTATATTTATTTTAAAAAAACGTGGCATTAATATGTGGGCACAATATATAAAAAAATACCATTTCTTTTAAACGGTTATAACTTTTTCAGCATTTATCTAATTTTTATAAAAAGTATATCAGATTTCATAATTTTTCACGATCTTTCATATGACACCAATATTGATATATAATTTTTTTTTAAAAAAAAATATGAAGGTTTATTAAACAACTTCTCATTTTTCAGCCTCAATACATATTAGGGAAAGTTCCCGAAATAGGACTAAAACAGTTTAAAAATTCCAAAATAGGACTGCCATGTTTTTTATTCCCAAAATAGAAGTAATTACTGCCAAGTTTGGAAAATACTGCCATGTTTGAAGACTGGTACTGCCAAAACATGGCAATAATTAGTCCTATTTTGGAAATAAAAACATGTCAGTCCTATTTTGGGATTTCCAAACCTTTTTAGTTCTATTTTGGGTAAATTCTCTACATATTATTCTGTATTATATAAAGAAATAATTTATAATATAAAAAGAATATCAAAATTCATAATATTTTAGAATCATTCATATGACACCAATATTGGATATACGTAGTATATAATTTTAAAAAAAATATATGAAGGTTTATTAAACAATCATCCCATTTTCCAACCTCAATACAGACTATTTCGTATTAAACCAACCGATTCATTTTATTCAACCAGAACGTCAACAATTTCGGTAAATTAAGCAATTTTCCGTTTTACCAAACGGATTCTAAATAACAATCTAAATGGAAACGATGTATATTCTAAATAACATTCTAAAGAAAAAATCTCTCAAGTATATATTTGCGATAAAAAAATATAATGAAAAATGTAAAAATTAAAAATATATTTGCCCTAAGCCCTAAAGTCCTAAACCCTAAGCCCTAAGCTCTAAAGCCCTAAGCCCTAAAGCCCTAAAGCCCTAAGCCCTAAAGCCCTAAGGCCCTAAAGTCCTAAACCCTAAATCCTAAACCCTAAACCCTAAAATCTAAGCCCTTGGCCCTAAGCCCCAAGCCCTAAAGCCCTAAACCCTAAACCCTAAGCCCTAAGCCCTAAGCCCTAAGCACTAAGCCCTAAGGCCCTAAAGCCCTAAACCCTAAACCCTATATCCTAAACTCTAAAACCTAAGACCTAAGCCCTAAGCTCTAAAGCCCTAAGCCCTAAAGCCCTAAACCCTAAGCCCGAAAGCCCTAAAGTCCTAAACCCTAAACCCCAAACCCAAAACCCTAAACCCAAAACCCCAAACCCCAAACCCCAAACCTCAAACAACAAACCCTGAAACCCCAAACCCCGAAACCCCAAGCCCCAAAGTCCGAAGCCCCAAGCCCCCAATCCCCAAGCCCCAAACCCCTAAGCCCCTAAGCCCCTAAGCCCCTAAACCCCTAACCCCTAAACCCCTAAACACTATACCCTATACCCTAAACCCTAAACCCTATACCCTAAACCCTAAACTCTAGACCCTAAACCCTTAACCCTAAGCCCTAAACCCTATTCTTCAAGCCCTTAAGCCTCTAAGCCCCTAAGGACCTAAGCCCTAAGCTGTAAGCCTTAAGCCCTAAGCCCTAAAACCCTAAGCCCTAAGCCCTAAGCCTTAAGCCCTAAGCCCCAAACCCTAAACCCTAAACCCTAAAGCCCTAAAGCCTTAAAGCCTTAAAGCCCTAAAGCCCTAAGCCGTAAGCCCTAAATCCCTAAAGCCCTAAAGCCCTAAACCCGAAACCCTACACCCTAAACCCTAAAGCCCTAAAACCCTAAAACCCTAAACCCTAAAACCCTAAAGCCCTAAACCCTAAATCCCTAAAGCCCTAAAGCCTTAAAGCCCTAAACCCTAAACCCTAATCCTTAGGGCGTAGGGTTTCTGGAAGTTGATTTCTGGAAGCCCTTTCACCAATCCTTTTCTGGATAATTTGTTGATGGTTTTGAAGTTGAGATGGCTTAGTTTATTGTGTCATTCCCAACTTAATTTTGAATCAACTTTTGTTACCAAGCAAATTCCTTCCTTGACAGTGTGCTCCAATCAACAACATACATGTCCTTCTTTCGTCTTCCAGTGAGCACAATTTTATCATTTTTGACATGTCTGATCAAGCAGATGCCTTTGGAGAATGTTACATTGTAGCCATTGTCACAAAGTTGGCTCGTGCTTATTAGATTGAACTTTAAACCCTTAACATAAGATATGTTTTGGATTGTAAGCATGAATGGTCTTAGTGTCTTGTTTTAGTCTTTCATTTTCAGATCTCAAGGGAACATGGTGATTTTGGACCTCTTGGAAATCTTGAATTAAAGATTCCAGTGTTATGCTTGATGGTCCAGAATCAATTGAGCTATAGGAAGAATGAGATGTTACCTCTACATCATTAAAGTGATCATCTGCCATGAAGCATCTGAGTGAGCAGTCTTCTCTGTCTGTATCATCCTTGGTAGCTGAATTTCTGACCCAGCTGCTAACCTCTTCAGTATCCTGCCAAGCTCCAAGGCAGAGTAGCGCTTCTTCTGAGCTTTCAGATGAAGAGCTTTCATCACTTGAAGTGCTTTCCTCGTCACTGTGAGAATCTTCCTTCTTCTTTTCACTTACAAAGGCTTGACGTGTACCTTTGAAGTATTTGTACCCAGCCTTTCAACTTCGGCGACTCTTTCAACTTCGTGAAAGCTCTTGAAATACCTTTTACAAGTTCCTAACAAGGTTTTATAATCATAAAACTCATATTAATACAAATAACCTCTAAAAGGGTATTTTCCGGCGAAACGGTAATTTCGACTATAAGTACGTTCTTGGACTTTGAGTCACTTTCCAACTCATTTTTCTACACATTTGAATATGTAGAACCATAACAAGGGTTCATCCTATTCTATATAAGTCATAAGGTAAAAGAAAAATAGAGGAAAAGTTAATATAAGGTCATTACCTTGTTTCTTTACACATTTCCTAACTTTTTCTCTCTTTAATCATCCTCCTTGGACCTCTATTGTTTGAGTTCGAATTTTGTAGCAATGGAGGGTGAGTTGAAAGATTCCTCTTTCCTTTCTTGGGAGTGCTGGCCG